GTCTACTACGGTACCTCGGGTGGATCGTCAACCTTCAAAAGGGATCTACAGTACATCGGGATACGCTTCCAGACGGGGGTCAATCTGGTCAAGGTACCTCAAGACCTTGTTCCAAGATTGTCAGCAGTGTTCTGAGACTCCTACATGAGCCAGTGTCAGTGCACACGTGGCAGGAAGTCCTCGGTCTGTTGACATTGGCACAAGACCTGACTCGCCGAGGTCGTCTTCAACTTCGTCCTCTGCAGAGATTGCTGTACCCCCATCTGGAGTTTCCCAACCTCCTGGTTCCACTTCCGGGGCAGCTACGTTTGTCATCTTGGAGTGGTGGCTCCAGCCGTCGAACGTTTGCGAAGGCGTCTTTATGAGCGAGCCTCCGTTCATACTACACCTATTCGTAGACGCGTCATTGGAAGGCTTGGGGGCGCACTTCAGGGACGACCAAGCGGCCGGGCTGTGGTCGCCAGAAGAAAAGCTCCTCCACATCAACTGCCTTGAGATGGAAGCAGTGATTCGGGTGGTCTGGAAACTTCGACTCCGTCGGAAACGGCTGTTGATACACTCGGACAACTCCACAGTTGTCCACTGCATCAACAAACAGGGAACAACTCGGTCGGCGGCCCTTCTGGACCGGACATTCAGGTTCTTTCGCCCTCGTCAACGACTTGGACATGCGCGTAAGAGCCCGTCACATCCGGGGGCCAAGAGTGTGATAGCCGACGCCCTGTCGAGACCATCGAGGCCGTCTCCCACGGAGTGGATGATCCATCCGACAGTCTTTCATCTGCTGACAGATCGACTGTGTTTGCCCCAAGTAGATCTCTTCGCAACCCTGTGCAACAACCACCTCCCTCGATTCGTGTCGCCGGTTCCAGACCCACGGGCATGGGACCACAACACTCTAGCGATATCGTGGGAGGGTCTAGACGCCATCGATACATGAGAAAGTTCGTCAAACGGCCAACCTACGTCCGCTTTTGGTCGCCAGAACGTGGTTCCTGGAACTTCTTCAGATCATCGATCAGCCAACCCATTGCCAGGTCAAGACAATCTCCTTCTTCATCCTCGCACCAACCACTTGCATCTCGGGATTAAGAACTTCCAGCTTCACGCCTGGGTTGGCTTAAGACCTCATTAATGATGAAAGCATATTTGGCTAAAGCGGCAGCACTTGTCTCGCTGGCACATCAAGTTACGACTCGTAAGCTGTACGATGACAAGTGGACCACTTTCTCCATTTTCGCCAGGTCTCGTGGTTTCAACCTGGCGGTAGCAACCCAACCACAGGTGACGGAGTTCCTAGTCTATCTCCGGTCATCTGGGCGTCTTTAAGGGTCGACGATCTCGACTTATCTGGCCGCTTGGCTTCAGTGGTGCCGTCTTCTACGGGCGACAAGCTCACTAAAGTACCGGAGTTGCAGAAGATTCTACGTGCCTTCATAGTTGAAGATCAGTCAGGTAAATTCCGACCGCCGGCAAGGGACCTTGATGTCGTTCTGCGCAACCTGTCTTGTCAGACTTACGAGCCTCAAGATCAGGTCGCGTTCGAAAACAGCTTTACTTCTCTTGCTGGCTAAGGCAGCGAGAGTATCGGAAATACATGCCATTGAAATCGCGGTCGGATTACGTTCGATCAGCGTAATCATGGGAACGTCCATGTTGGTCTCAGATGGGATTTTTTAGCGATATCTCAACAGAAGATGTTGAAGGACTCAGACAGTTTGGTCCACTCGTGGTGGCACAACAGATCTCCCAGAAAAGACAGTGAATTTGTGCTTTATTCACTTTGGACTTTTTACTCGACACTTCGTGTCATATAACATGTTACAATAAAAGCTGTTGCCGAATGTACGCATTCTTATGGTTTTCTTGTTGCGTGCAGTACTTTGGCTATTTTATTATGGTTATTCGGTGTATGCATCGTCTTCCCATACTTTATAGTACTGCTCGTATTTTTTAGTTGTATACTGCGAGTTTCTCTGTCACTAAATTATGCGCCGACCACACTTCAATGGCAGTTCAATTGACGCGTGCAGTTGTCCTGTCGCATCGTTAATTATAATTAGTTGTGTGTCGAAGAGCATTAACCATGCTGTGCGTTCGTGATAAACAACTTGTCTCGTCCGTGCATCTGGTCGAATGTTCTATTGTCACTACAGGGGTGAGGAACTTGGTACATTCGACGTGAAAGAAGTCACTTCCTGATTACTTCCCCGACCCTCCTTCCAGTGTTCCATCGAATTCTACCCATTTGTACGACTGAAAACAGACTAAAACATGTGTTTTTCAGAATAAAAACGATGTTTTATTGGTCTGTTTTCAGTCGTACGTTCCCACCCAGCCATCCCCACAGGGAGGTAATCCAGTCCAGTCCTGAATGATGGCTTATTCTTCGAGATTTGTGACATGTCAGAGGGAGGTGCATACGCAACCGGAGGGAAACAAGTTTAATGTTTACATTCCAGCTTCTGGCTTCCATTTAAACGTGCGACTAGAAGTGAGGGTATGAGAGATACCCATTTGTACGACTGAAAACAGACCAATAAAACATCGTTTTAATTCTGAAAAACACATTTTTCTTCTTTTTTTTCATATTTACCTCCATTGCCCATTTATTGCAAAATGATTCTAATATATCTAATTTTCTTTGCAATTCTCTCACGGAGTCTGCAAGTAGGACATCATCTGCCAAGAGTAGCAGCTTAATTGTTTCAATAACTAGACTTACAAAAATGCCCCGGCATTCACTTGCCATAATTTCAGACACTAAATTGACCGCCTCCTGAGAGCGGAAGGTTTCGGGGTTCAATCCCCGGCCGCTTCATACCAAAAGACGTTAAAGGATGGTACTTGTTGTTACCCTGTCTGGCGCTCGGCATTAAACAAGGACTGGTCTGCTCAGAGTCAGTATACTGTGTCTGAGTGGGGTATTCATGTTAAACTGCGGCATGGTACCTCAGTGAGCTAGCACTATAAATCGGCATCAGTCCGGACTAGTACAAACAGCCACACACACACACACACACACATGCATGCATGTCGCTATATAAGTGCAATAATCTTGGATGCGACGTTAAACCCAATTTCACCTCACCTCACCTCAGACACTAATTGATAAATAAAGAGAATAAAGAATAATGGGCTCAACATACAGCCCTGTCTTACACCACAAGAGGTGTTAAAACATCCGATATGCTATTACTTATCTTCACACATGCACAGACATTATTATACATATTTTCAATAACTTTATACATTTGACCAAGAACGCCCTTTTGAAGAAGTACATACAACATTTTCTTTCTATTAACAAATTCGAACGCCTTGCTGAAATCTATAAAGGTGGCATAAAATCGATGTTTTGGTTTTCTTAAATACTTTTGACACAAGGCCTGCAAAACAAAAATATTATGAGTTGTTAAATGGTCCTCTCTAAATCCAGCTTGGGATTCCGATAGTATCTAAGTCTATGTTCAACAACAGAAGTAAATAGTTTTCCCATTACATTTGGGAGAGATATTCCTCTGTAATTGGTAGGATTTGTTGACTCACCAGATTCATACAAAGAAATTATAAGACCACTATTCCAGACACAAGGGAAAGTCCCTGTCTTTAAAATGGCATATATAAGTATATTTAAGTATGGGACAATATTCATACAATATTTGTAGTACTCGGGTGGTATTCCATCTGGTCCAGGTGCCTTACCCAACTTTAAAGTTTTCAATACTTGTTTTATTTCCTCATCTGTTATCATATCTGAAAGCATATCAGCATCGTTACATTTCTCAGAATTCAAAAGATCATGGTGTCTGATTAAATCTGCAACAGATTTATCAAACTCATTATCAGAAACTTGTTCAGGATTTCATGAAAGAAAATAACCAATACAGACGGTGGCACCCCAAGTATTCGACTGCGATACTGTATTAAACGTTTAATACTAATGGCAATATTTATTTAGTAGGGCAGAATTTACGGACTCAATCGTTTTTTGTTTAAAACACTCTTGCTTTTCATGACATAATTTTCTAAAATTTACAACCTCAAATTTTGGGGCCTTTTTGTTGTTCGAAGAAGACACAAACATTTATATTTCAACTTTTTTAATACAATACATTCATTATTGAACCACTGAGGTTAATTATGAACCTGAAATGAATCTGATTGTTCTTTCCTTACTTTCTCAAAATGCGATCCTGCAACATAAAATAAATTTGTTTGCTGGTACATACCACATGTAAGTTGTCAGATGAGATAAATGAAAGTGACTAAACAGTTTCAATAATCACAAGAAATCTCTGCTAAAAGCAGAGTCCAGTGTACGATTCCGACTATATCTTATGTGACCTTAGCCTCTGATAAGATAGGATAAATGCAACTTTTCATGAACACCTGGTATCATCATTATGTCATTGAGATTCATAAAAGCAGACACACAAAACGCTTGAGAGTTGGATTCGAACACGAAATAATGTAATACTAGTTGCAGAACGACACCCATGAGTGCAACTGAAAACCGTCCTTTAGTTCACTGAATTCTGAATTGTTTGATCTTTAATGTGCAACATGAACACTCGTAACATACGAGAAATAAAACAGCTCCAATCTCATTCAAATCAGATCTCGGTTCTTGCTACTGCTAAACATAAAGCCTAAAGTTTCCGCAAGACTTGCTCATTTCAGCTCCATTCATTCCAGTATTGATATACACGCACATGTAAAGATTATGCCACTATATGGCTTTTGACTAAGTTTGATCTGAGTGAATAATAATGTATTGTCAGCCTTCATATCTTTAAAATTGCGATGATTGGGAATATGCGAGTGTTAGATGAAATGGATGACAATGGACACTGTCCACAGACATCATCATTTTGGCTGCATCAGATGTGTTTTTAAGACATATTACATACACAATACTGTAGGCTGGTGAACGAGTCGCAATATACAATCATTTCTTAATAAGGGGACAGAACACAAATTCATAACGGTAAACTCACCACTGGATGCGGTAAACGTGTTGCTTCTCCCGACTTGCTGTGCGCGTATATTGCCACCATCCAGACGGACTTCTATATTGTTGTTGTCACCAACCTGTGCAACTGATGTAGCATGATCTGGAAAATATGTGTCATGCTCAGACTTCCTGCATCATCAATTTCATACTGCATCTAATTAATCTGAAAGGACACACGTTTTACACAATTCTCTGCAAGCAATATACACACTTAAATATTCATAATCTATATTGCAAATTAATAAAAAGATGTTGTGAAAATGTCTTGACTGTCGTATTTGAATTTGTTGATATTTGGGAACCTGAAAGGCAGTACAGTCAAACCAGATAAATATTGATAAATTGGAAATAGAGCATCAAGACTGGAGCTCACAGGCACTTTTCTGGACTATTGTTATTTCGGTAAAGTCATTTTCTGTTTTGTTTGATGTTTAACGCCGCACTCAGCAATATTACCGCTATATGACAGCGGTCTATAAATAATCGAGGTTGGACCAGACAATCCAGTGATTGACAACATGAGCATCGATCCATGCAATTGGGATCGATGACATGCATCAACCAAGTCAGCGAGCCTGACCACCCGATCCCGTTAGTTGCCTCTTAGGACAAGCATAGTCGCCTTTTGTGGCAAGCATGGATTGCTGGAGAACTATATTCTACCCCGGATCTTCATAGGCCCGGTTACGTCATAAAGGGGTCAAGAATTAAATCAAACAACAGAGGTTTCTGAACAACAGGCAGGCAGAGGGACACTAGTATAGCTAGATAAACATGGTATTTAATGTCATCGCTGAGGTAACAACACAACCATTTTAAAATATGCTTTTCCACGTTCATATGAAACTTCATAATGTTTCATTCAGAAATGGCTGTGGAAAGGTCACAAATGCATTTTCAACATTGCATTAGTGGCGGAAATGTTTAAAATCCTCATTCTTTTTCAGCATGTTTAGCAACACAATAGGTGTGATCGGTCACACAAAGTCTTAATGGCAAAAATGGAAATGAAATGGAAAGTCCAACCAAGTGAGATAGAGCTGGAGCGTGGATGACCTCAGTAGCATTAAATTTTTAAATGGCTCATATGGCAAGCGCATCATTTAGGTATCATGCTATTTATTTCATAACATCAAAGCCAATACAGAACTTCTGGATCTCAAGAGCCTACCTTCAAGAGCCACATAACCATTGGTACTGTTGAGGAACCGAGTGTTAGGAATAATATTTTTTCTCATGGCCCCAGGAAGCTTATACTTTACTTCTTGGAAGATTTCGTCATCATCAAGATAATTGACTAATTGAACCTCTTTTTCTGCTTCTATGAGATCTGCAATTAAAGACAAATATTGCAAACATAATCCGATAGGGTAAAGGATAAACTGATAAAAAGTAGGTTAATGTTTTAAAAATTATCAGTACTCTAAATGGTAGAAACGTTTGAGATAAAGTCCGAAGACCTTTAATCTTTTTTAAAGGTAAAATGCTTGAAAGATGAGACAGAAACAAAGTGTAGTGGTAATATAAGAGAGAATTTGAAATCATCCAAGGATGGCAAGAATTCGATTAAATACAAGAGTGCTCTGAGAGCACTACATCCCCCGCATGAACTTTTTTAACAAGTTAAATGAAGCTCCGTAAAACAGGGGCAGTAACTCTGTCAAAATTAGTCGAAACGAAACGGGACTGCGATATGCGTATCATCAACATGTCGACATCTTGTGTGTTGAGTGTCAGGGATATTCTCTGGAAACTGTAGGAGGAGGTGATTTCACAAGCTTAGTACCCTCTGTGGGACGGAAGGACGGACGGACTGCGCCACGACATAATCCCCCTTCGGCCATTTCTGGCCCGGCGGGGGATAAAAAGCGACCAAATCCCTTCAATATTCCTAAAAAATATCTGCTGAAGTCCATTTTACTACTCCGTCTATATCATGAGCATGTGCAGGCATCCCCATGGGCAAGAAGTAGGTATCCCCATATCCCTTCCTGCTGATCTGTTTCTTTATGCATATGAATCGGCATGTCTGCTCAGACTGGCAAAATCAAATCAAGACAACTTGGCCAAGGAGTTTAACTTGAGCGTCAGGTTAGCAATGATCTGATATCGTTCAATAACGGTCAAATAGCCAATTCCCTTCAACTTTACCCACCTGAACACGAAATAAAAGAAACCAGTAAAATCGCCTCATCTCTTTCACCTTTAGATCTATACATAAAGATTCAGAGTGACATAAAACACCCCACAATACTGTATGAGGAATGACTTCAACTTTCGAAGAGTCAACTCTTGCCTATATGCCGAGGAATGTTCCAGCCTTTGGTACAATCGACCATGCTCGTTTTACTGCGATTTCAAAGATCAGCATAGTCTCTTGCTGAAAACATTCAAGGCCTCAGCAAATATTCCAAACGATTTTATGGTAGACACGTGGAGGACAATATCTTTTGACACGTCAGTGACAAATATGATGGAAAGATTCTGATATTTTGTAAAACATCGATGAGATATATATCTCATCATATCGGTTTACAGCAGAACAGCTGAGATGATTGATATTTTCGTTTGCCTACTTGTTCAAAGATGTAACTGGTCGTTTCACCTTACAGACCCATGAAGCATTGTACCTTTAGAAAGATTGGAATAGTCTAATACTGTACAAGAAAAAGTCCTAAGATTTACCCCAAAGATCAGCGTAAATATGAACATGACACAATTAAGATAATAACATTTAAATCCATGAAAAACATATCGTGTTGGTTGGTAGCACAATTCATGAAAATCTTTGTGTTTGTTTGTTTGTTGTTTAATGTCGGACGCGGGGGGGGGCTGAAAAATAGTCGAGTTTGGACAAGACAATCCAGCGTTATCATGAACATTGATCCATGCGACTGAGATATGATGACATGCATTAATCAAGTTAGCGAGTCTGACTACCCGATCCCGTTAGTCGCCTCTTATGACAAGCATAGTTGCCTTGTACAGCAAGCATGGGTTGCTGAAGACCTATTCTACCCCGGATCTTCACCGGTCGAAAACATATGTGTGTAATACGGTTGTAATAGGTTTTGATAGTTTAGCAGAAAATGATTGGAAAGTTTTGTCACCATTGAAAACACGTTTGAACATCCTGTATTCATCTTCCATCAACTGAGAAAACTCTTCATCAATCAACACAATCATACGTGTACAGTCTGTTTTGAGTGCCTCTGTGAACCTCTCAGCATCTACAAAAACAAATTAAAGAAAGACAATATGCTAAACGATTCAAGGGATCACAATCCATGCTTCAGCTTTTGTCTTGATATTCTTTCATTATCCAGTAGAAACACAAATACATACATGATCAATATTTAGTCAAACTGGACACAATGACAAAAAGGAACATCAAACATACAGCCTGTTTGGATAATCTATGTAAGGACATATTGACTTGATTACTGTCATGCATTACCGTAACAAAAGTATACTTACTGTCACACTCAAATCGTTGTATACTTCTACCGTTGTTTCTGAAGAACGCATCCACGTTGTCGGCGTGTCTTTTTGCACCACGTGTGTAGATGACAACTGATAAAATGTAGAGCATGTAAGTTGTGAAGCCGTGAGCAAAATGATTGCTCCTTGTTATATGTTAAATAATAACTCTTTTTCTGACAATTGGATGATTGAGGACAGTTGATATTTGTTCAAGATTTGTACCTGTTTATCATGACGAATGTTTCATTTTACTTAAAAGCCGAACCTGTTGGAAACCATTAGGTCTAATGTTTCTAGCCCTGTGTGTATAACTTTTTACCATTCAAAATAGTTTTTTTCATAATTATTATGAGGTTCGAAGATACTGCAAAGGGCGATTACAAAACGTCAAGGCAATGGTACTTCATATGTGATACGTTGCAAATACTACGAGTTGTTTGTGACTTGTTTTGCATTAACTTTACTTTGGTACAATATATTTAGCGGATATTTGTTAAAAACGGGTATTAGTCAGTGTAGAGTTTCCCCTTTAATATACACTATGCAATAAAGTTTTAATATATTTAGTTTTAGGTGAAACTACAGGAAAAAAAACAATATCTGGTAATGAAAGTAAGTGAGTATGTGGCAAGAACATTTCCGAGCCCACGCATATTGCTTTCTTGGAACCAAAAGCTAAAAGACACCTTTCTAAACACATTTAATCATGATGAAGCAACATCATTGATCGTTTGCGTACACATAATAATAATGCTGCATGTTTCTAAAACTGTCATCAGCAGATTGTGGGCCCGATGCCAACAAACACATTACGTCGATGATGAATGCCGCTATGTACGCCCAAGGGCAGCAACTCCAGGCAAGGACAGATCAGATCAGACTGATAGGATTAAGAAATGGGCTGCAAACTGACATTCAGATAAGGTACCGGTTTCAACAGGCAACTGGTGTAAGAGTACACGCCTATACGGCGCGAAGTCATTTGCACAGATGGAATTTGCGAACACAACGTCCGCGTGTCCAAGTTTACGTGTCCTCCCATGTGTCATCCCACAACTTACTGCACGTCATTTGAATCTGAGGCGTCAGTGGTGTAGGGAACATCGGCACTGAAAAAATCGACTTTTGGATAATGTCATGTTTTCTGACGAAACGAGGTGAAATATTGACTTCGATGACTGAAGGAATCAAATTTTGAGACGTCCTTTTGAACGTTTTATGGACGTTGATCGACATATCGAGGAAATCGCGCATGTCTGGCCAACAGAGGTGGTTTACCCGATTTTAGTGACGTTGGCTGCAAAATGCAAATTTCTGTTTTGACCTCCGACTTCTTTAACGACCTTAATGCACCACCATCTTATCACACTAAGCTTTAGAACCCATCTGATCGCCTATTCCCGAGCAGATATAATCATATCATTTCCATCTGTAATACCACATAGATTAGAAGAAATATCTTGTTGATTCCCGGTATCTCCTACTTTTTTGGCACACCACTTCATTGTCCTTTCAATAATTATTAGGATGTTATCTATATTACCACGCTTTTGTTCATTTGGAACCTCCTGTTCTTCTTCACTTGAGGTCTGAAATAATGGAAAAGTCATGACAATTGTTACAATACCATGGCAACAGTTAAATACTTAAGAAATAAAGTATATCTATGCAATATCTAAGGTTTATTCAATGACTATACTGTTCTGATATTAGGCAAAATAATAATAGATTCCATCTTGCAATAATGACACGGGCACCCTCTTCATGAAGGAGGTAGTTCGTGTCAATTCCCTGAGCAGTGCCGCATCCCTTACATGTAGCAGTGCCAGGATACCATTCATTCAACAACATTCACTTAATAAGTTGAAGTACTGTAATATTTCAAGTAGACTACCCTTACGAAAGAAGAAAAACAAATAATTCAACAACTCACGATCGCATCTTCCTCTGTCTGGCCTCCCACCTTGCCTGCCATTTGAGGAGAAAACTGACCTCTTGCCGCTTCTACATGTGGACAATCGGGGTCTGTGTGAACCATGTCCTGCCCAGGCAGACTGGTGTACGGGTTGTCGACCAGGTTCGCACAGCTTGTGGTCTGGTACACGTGCGTCACTGGAACAATGAACAATGATGTCCATCAGTGTGTCCACAACATTTTATTGGGGATAAAGCATCCATATAATGATAATAGGACAATTTGTTTATTTGTTTGATTAACGCAGCACTCAGCAATAGTCAAGCTATATGTCAGCGGTCTGTAAATAATCGAGTCTGGACCAGACAATCCAGTGATTGACATCATGAGCATCGATCTACGAAATTGATTGAGTTTGTGAGTTAAAATTTAACTTCGCATCGGCATCATTTCAGCCATATATCCACTCTACGGGAATGAGATGTTTGTTTGTTGTTTAATGTCGGACGCAGCAATATGACCGGATGGGGGGGGGGGGGGGGGGGGGGGGCTGAAAAATAGTCGAGTTTGGACAAGACAATCCAGCGTTATCATGAACATTGATCCATGCAACTGAGATATGATGACATGCATTAATTAAGTTAGCGAGTCTGACCTCCCGGTGCCGTTAGTCGCCTCTTACGACAGGCATAGTCGCTTTTCAGTCAGCAATTGCTGAACGCACTTTCTGTGTTTGACAAAACTAATTGTTTCTATAAGTCATGTACATGTAGTTTGTTTGAGGTAAAGAAGGATGTCACAATAACTTTTGTTGCTGGGTATATGTAATTCAATGTATTCACAACGGATGTGACGTCATTAACTTATTTCAATCAGGGTCAGGCTCAACAAAACAGTTTTAAGCAAGAAAAAGTCCCATTATGTTAGCAATTCAAACACTGTCCTCTGAGTTGGAGTTCATTGACGTCTCATGAAATACCATATTTTTATAATAAAAGTCATATTATGAAAATTAGAGATTATAATGAAAAGATTGAAAACTCGGACACATGCATGCATACAACACAAACAGAAACACACACACACACACACACACACACACACACACATGCCATAGAACATAAAAAACACAGGTGATTAATATTTCTTCAGTCTTTCAATTACAAATAGGAATATTGAACATGACTGGTCTTGATAATCCATCTGGAATATAGTGACTTGCATTGCAAAACAAAACCCTTTCAAATCCATTGTAAGATTTCGACTACATGTATATGTAGATCATAAGTATGTGTTTACCACCACATTTCCACCTCCTCCCCAACTTGAAAGAGCTATCTGGCAAGGAATATGTAAACAGTGATGACATCATTTCTGCTGTTGCGGACAGTTCACCCCACAGGAGGAATCCTTCTACACCAGTGGGACCCAGGCACTCCAGCATCGTTGGCAAAAGTGTGTGAAGAACGGAGGGGATTATGTTGAAAAGTAATGATGAACCAACTCCAACAATGCAGTGCATGCTTACCCTTTTTGCGATCTTAGTTTCTAGTAACATTTGTAAGATAATAATTAACGAATTGGAAACAGATTAAACCGGTAGTGAAGCATGACAGTGACGGGCGTGAGGCGAAATTTCCAAATTGATGATGTTGTATCAGTAGTGCGTAATACCGCCACGATTTGTCAAAAATGCTATCACTCCACGAGGCATACTGCGTAAGATTCTCCCAATGGATGTTTGTCCCCTGCCTTTTGCAGTGCTTGGCAGTAGTTGGGGGCAGGGATCTGGTTACTGGAAGTGACGCCATAGTCACGTGACCTGCGCCTTTCAAGATGGCAGCACTTCCGGTTCAATGACGCCACTCAGAAGTGGGTTCTACGTCACATTTTCTGTTTGCAATGGCTTATTTACATGTTCAAAGATTGGTTAAATATCAGTTGCAAGATAAATTGTCAATACCTCACTGTTCGAGAAAACAACTTTAAACATTTGTAAATATGTGTGTGTTTCATAACTTTTGACTAACAAGTTTCTAAAGATGTTATGAAATGTTTCAGGTACCTGGATTTCACAATCTGACACCAGCTACATTTAAGAAGATCTTGCTCACACAATTCAGACAAGGGACTCGCCGGATGATGAACAGTACTCCTGATAACAACCAACAGATTCACCTCAGAAAGTGATGATTCTGAATGAATAATGCCACATCAGTGTTACTGTAGGTGGTTTTATTATGACACTAATGAAGTCTGAATGAATTTATGCCAAAGCACTGTGACTATGTCCAGTTTGTGTACACCGATGCTGACTATACAAATCTGAATGAGTTTTGTGGTTTACTGCAGAAACATAATTGACTTTAGATATTCTTCTTCAATAAAATTCTTCTGAGATTTGACTAATTTGTTTATTTAGAAAATGGCATTGAAGCGTCTGTTCTGTAAGGCCTTGCAAACACCACTGGTTACTTTATGCTAGTTCCTCTTCTTGCTTGATTAAATTTCAATTTGTGATATGTACCAATGAAATGCCATATAATCAATAAATAAGATTTTTTTCCAAAAACATGATTTGTTTTGCTTCATTAGCATAAAGAAATATAATACTGATCAGCCATAACATAGGTGCTGAACAAATATAAAATGTACTAATGCCCTGAATGTTTTCCTACTATAAATACAGCTCACTTAACAAAAGTTGTAGTTCCACCTTAGTAGACAAATGACATTGATATTTTTTCTGTACTTTATTTAGGTGTTTTCTATGGATGCCATTAGTCTTATGCACCAATTTGGGACAATTGTATTCTGTTTTATATTCCCATGAAACTACACTGTCCGATATAACAAGTACTGATACCGTTCCAAACCAATCTGTTAATCTCACCAGGGCCAAATGCCAAAGCACATAGCCAATGACTTTCCATTTTTTTCTGAGTGAGAATGCTGTTTTGCCACTTTTAGCAATATTGCAACAATATCATGGTGGGGGACACCAGCAATAAGCTTCACACATTGGACCCATGTCGCAAAACAACTTGTGAACAGTGCATGCCCACATATCTCAGTTTGAGGAGGATATTTACAACTAAAATAACACAGAATATTACAACAGGTACCTGTAATGCACAGGCTAACATTATTTACCAGAAGCAAGTCATGAAGAAAA